AAGACAATAATCTCATTATCTCATTCATTCTCATTTACGTTTGACGAGTACTAGTTTGGATTGAAATGTTACAACAAACATTTCGCAACTCAGTCTACTCCATTCTGATTCGGGGCCTTAGGCAGTCCGCCACTCCAAGTCCCGGGGTTTGGGTTACCGGTTTCCATCACTGAACAACAGGTCTTTATGACCATGGAGTTCGCCATGTCTGCAGTTCATCACATTTTTTTCTTTTTATATTAAATTGTGGAATAAAACAATAATATAAGTGCATATATATATATATAGTATTGAAACTCAAAAACCACATTAGGATTAACAGAAGTGATTAAAAAAATAACTAACCGATGGAAGTAATGGGACTGAAAGAACTTGATCCAAAAATCTGCCTCAGATAGTTTATCGGGGACCAATTCTCGATGCCGTTGTCGAACGGTAGGGTACGCTCGAAAAATTGCATCAATGGTTTCGTGAGTCAAGTTGTACTTGATGCCGTTGGCGCCATCGGCTTCCGGTTTGATATCACTAAGTAAATAGCTTGGGACCCCAATAGTTTGGGGACGGTCGTCGAGTTGAAAACTGCGGGAAATTTGCCCCGTCGAACTGGAGCTGTCGGTATGCGCATTTGTCGCCGCTGTGGTGCCTCCACTGGCAGCGCTACCTTGAGTTTTACGTTGACCGCTTGGTGTTTGTGTTTCATTGTTAACACTGGCGGTAGTGAATTCTGGGCGAGCCCAAAACTCGTCTGAACTTAGTATACCTGTTACCACAAGCTCTTTGTACAGAGCCAAAAGGTCGGGGTTGGATTCCAACAGGCGCACCTTCTCTCGAAGCTCGGATTGAGCCTGAGTAATAAAAGGGAATTGGAAAAAATATCATGATGCTAATCAAAGCAAATTAGAAACCTTGTGCATAAACCTTACTTGGAAGAACAAAGAGATAAACAGGTAAAGATTAGGATAAGCTCGAGTTGGGCTCGGTGGCGTTCGAAACTATTACTGCTGAGGAGATGACAACTACGGGAAACACGTTTCGAAGGACCCATAATATATATATAGGAAACCGTCTTTTAACAAGAAATTAGCTGTGATGAAACTTGTCAGGTTGCTTTCTCTATGATCACAAAGTCACAATTAGCTCCCGAAAAAGCCTATCGAATGAATTGTATCAAAGATCATTATGCCCCTGACGAGTAGCACTTTTGACAGATCATTCGCTTCATCAATGAGAACCAAATATGCGGTTTCCATGTGTACACATACTATCGAAGAACCGTAAACAGCGGCGATAGTTCGTTTGCTCACTTTCTAAGCAAAACTGTTCTGCCTACTTTCTGTATCGATATTTTATTATTGATTCCAAATTTTTACTTCTATTTTTTCTTCTTAGCAGAAATAATTGTGTAAAGCTGTTCCAGGATCATGATGTATTTATTGAATACAAAGATATGATTCTTCATTAAGTTGACCTTGTACGAACAGAGCGGGGCTAGAACAAAAGGTTTTCGTAGTTTTAAATAGTTTAGACTTGAAACGGATAGTGATAGTTCTGAGATACCTGACATGCGATTACCGAAGTGTGAGATTGAAATTCGACTTTGGAGAATGAAGTTTGGTGGCATCCATGGTTGTATTTCAATTTATTCCCGGGACGTGGAGCACATAACTAATTTAGCGGGTTAAATAGCATTGATTAAAATGACTCGTTATTCTGTTTAGGAACGAGCCGGAGAAGACATTTCACTGTGTCAATCCATCTCGATAGTTAGTGGTCAATATTGTAGCATGCCATTTTTGAAGCGCAACTTCGTGTGACGATCGGGGGTACTGAGGGGAAAAGAATTCACCTAATGAAAAAGAATTTCAATTAGGGCGCTTGAAATCTGGCTCAGCGAGAGAAATGAAGTAAAGGCATCTTATTGTAGTTTCTTCACATCTACCGACTAAGACCTTAAGCACGATCATATTAGTCATTGCTGGTATCTGGAGGAAAGTTCAACCCAAATTGCAGTATGTATAAGTGGTTCAAGACAAAACCCGAATGTCCCTCGCCAACTTACAATAGTTTTTCAAGGGATTTTGCTCTTCTTACATTCACACATTTTGCAATCAAAAAAGAGACTTCATCACAAAAGCACTGTACACGGATAACTCGTGTACCTCTGCGACTCAACAGGCTAAACATGCTAGGCTCTCCAAACCCGAAGACCTAGCTACGCCAAACAAGTCCGAGCAGGGCCCCTACGGAAATTGTCTCCTTGATCTCTTGGACTACTCCGGTACTGTAGTTAACCCTTCAATAGATAAAAACGGGCTAACAACCAACCACTAATCATGATATGCACGAGGTGTGGTACCTGCATTAGACTCACAAAAATGGGTTGTGCTAGATCGTGCATAAGCAAAATATAAAACAGTTCGATCAGCTGACTGGTGAGTAAGCGGGTATTGCGCTCGTGTTTTACCTGTGAGGTCCCGGGTTCGATTCACAATTGGGTCGATAGATTCGCACTGCTGATGAGACCAAACGGTATCGAAACAGCTGACTAGCGCTTTCTAGTTTTTCAGGTCACGCTTCATTTATTCTGTGAACGACGAGACTGCACCTTGGAGTGGTGTGATGGTTTGCGCGCCTCAATGACCCTGCG